CCACCTATGACCTTATGAGGTTTTCGGGGGACATCTAGATAAAAGCCATAACACACATCAATATCAAGATTCTGAATACCACCCAAAATATGGTAAGTAAAATATAAGTTAAACAGAATAGGTGGAGTTGATAGGTGGGGTACAAGGATGACTCTGGTCAGGCCAAATCTAGCATTCAGCTATTGAAAGGTAGCAGACAGGATTTATACCAAAGGCTTTCTGCTTAGTAAGGGAAGAGAAGCATGATGAGAATAAAGAAAACAGCATAAATAAAATTCTGCAGAATAAAGACCCAGTGCATATGTATGAACATTATGAGTACAATAGAGCAGTTACACAGGCTTTGTGTTTCATATTTCTGAAAATTAAAAGCAGTTGGAGGCTAGAGAGTTGAAAGCCAAGTTAGTCAGTCTGAAATTTACTTACTCATTCATAAAATACATATTAAACTGCAGTGATTAAGAGCCTAGGTGTGATCTCCCTTAGCCCCAGTGTAGGACGGTGTAGGGAGATGAGACTGAATTCCTGATTTTACATCATGTAAACTGGGTAATCTTGGGTGAGTCACAGAACTCTGAGAGATTCAATGTTCTCCACAGATAAATAATACTGGTGATGTTATAGGCCTTGTCTTAGTCACTTCCTGGTTGCTGGCACAAAATACTCAACACTCAAAGTTAAAGAAGGAAACGTCTCTATTAGCCCACAGTTCATAGAGCTTTTAGTCCATAGATGGCTGGCTCCAAGGCATGGCAGAGGAGAAACAGTTCATGCCAGGGCAGCAGAAAGCAGGAAGCAGCAGCCTTCCTTCTGCTTTCCCTTTTATTCCATATAAGCTGCTAGTCTAATGATTGGTGCCATACTCACCCAGAGTGACACTTCCCTCTTCAGTAATTGCATCACCTACATCTATGCTAAACCAATCAGTGGACTAATTCAGTTATCACACCCTTAATCCAGTATCACACACCCATGATCCACCCACCTCCCAAAAGCCCCACCTATAAGCGTATCAATCTTTGGGGGGACATCTAGATATGAGCCATAAAAGGACTCTTATGCTAAGGTCTGCTGCCAGCTGGAGCAGTAGTTAGGCTTCCTTCCCTCTTGGCTGTAGGAGTCAAGGGCCTGGATTGCTGAACACTGAATCCAATTCTGTGGAACAAATTCTCTAGGGTGCCACTGTTCTGGAACATGGTGCTCTGGGGCTTTCTTCTCAAAACAAATTCTTTCACCTTTACAACTCTGAGGATGCAAAGGGTGGAGTCCTGCTGCTTTCTGTGATGCCCTCAGGCCATCTTTTCTATTCTCCTGTTCCTTCTTGGCAATTAAGATCACTTAATCACTGCTCTACCTTTGCAGTCCACACCTCCTATTTCCATTACCTCTCAAGTGAATTATGATCTCATCAGTGGATTAATCTACTGATGAGTTCATCACTCCATGATCCAATTGCTTTCCAAAATCCCAACTTCTAAACACACACGAGCTTTAGGAGAATGACATAGGCAGGCACCTACCAATGATAACAGAAGCTCAATCAAGCGAGCAGATGCTGGCTGGCATGAGACATCAGTGCAGCAAAGCTAAATAAAGTCCTGATTTTAAGGACTGGAAGAACTTAGAAAAAGCCAGCAAAGAGGCAAAGAGATGTTATCAAAATATATAAAGGAGATCATCAATTGTACAATTTCATGGAAAAAATTTTAAAAATAGTGATGGAGCACAGTGACAATTTAGTCATAGAGAAAGAAGAGGCACATTTTCCCCTGTGACAGAAGAAGAAAAGAAGCAAAGATAAAGAGGAATGTGAGGTTACAGAGAAGGAATGGCAGCTGAGATATCTGAGGAAAAGGAATGAAATTTGCAGGAGCTCACACTGGATGACAGTTATGAAAGAAGCAAGGTAATATGTTTAGAGTGAGGGAGATATGATGAGATTAGAAGTTGAAAACATAATTTGAAACAGCCGCAATGAAGAATGCAAAAAGAATTTAACAAGCAATGAATAAAATAAAGGACTGACAAGTAGCATTAAGAGCCCAAATGAGGTTAGATATCATGAATTTTCTTTTCTTTTTTTTTTTTTTTTGGTACTGGAGATCGAACTCGGGTCCTTGCACTTGCGCAGCAGGCGGCGAAACCACTGAGCTAAATCCCAGGCCCCAAATAGCATAAATTTTCAATGGACTAGGTCTGTAGTTTTGTGACTTTCTGTAACACACACAGTACCCACGGTCGCACCTCCATGACTCACCCAAAGATACCCAGTATTATGCTTTGCCAACCTCCTAGACATCTCTCCAGCCAGTCAAGTGACAATCAAGACTAATTGTCACAACAGCCTTGCTATTTTCTAATTCACTTTAATTAAGAACACAAGGAGTCTAGATATTTAGTAATGATTCATTACTACATTTACTTTTACTAAAAAAGAAAAGAATGACAAAGTAAAATCTTAACAGATTCAAGTATCTCATAAATTCTTTTTTCTTAACCTTTGTAGTTGGTAATTTCTACTTATCTAATTCATTAAAACAAATTACACTTTCTTCAGCAACATCAAATACAGTCATGCATCTATTGAGATATTTGTGGTTAGGCAATTTTGTTGTTGTATAAACACCATAAAGTGTTGTTTTAGTTACTTTTCTCTTGTCGCTGAGACAAAATACTTGACACCCAAAGTCAAAGAAGCAAAGGTTTATTTAGTATACAATTTGTAGAGCTTTCAATCCATAATTGGCTGGCTCCAAGGCAAGGTGGCACGGCAGAGAAGAGACAGGTCATGGAGGGCAGAATGTAGCAAAACAACAAGGTATGACTATAGGGATCGGGGAAGGGAAGTTACCAGGACCTCTGCTGTAGGTCCTGGTCTGTGAGCCACCACAGCACAAGGTGAATTAAAGGATAAGACAGAAACTAAGCTTATAGTGAAGAAGCTGAGTCTTGGAACCTGATCAATGCTGCTAAAGGCAGCAAAGACAAAGGCCCCCAAGCACATCCAGTATTTATTGAATACAAACATGGGAAGGGATAGGGAGCCCAGTTTGCTTAGAAGGCACCTAGTGAAATACTGCTGAACAGCTGGCATGATGGCACCAGGCAGGGTAGTTAGGGAGTAAACACAGTTTATCTTGCATGGCTAGGAAAACCCAGTACTGGGATGGGGTGCAATTAGCAAGTGACCCATTGGGTCATTGAGAAGCCATAATTCAGGGGAAAGGATTTTAATTGGAATCACGCTAACCTCAGCTGCATGTAACTCAGCAGAGCTCTGCCACTTCACAGACCAGGACTTAGGCCTCAGTGACAGCCATTAGCAAAGGAGCAATACTAGCCCAACTCTGCTACCTCACATGCCCATTTGACTTACGAAAGACTTTGGTCTGACTCCTGACATAAAACAATGTAAATGAATTAAGGGAGGCAAGAAGCATTTGCCACTCATAGCCCTCTAGTACTGGGCAGGAATGTCTGCTACAGATGATCACAGCTCTTTCTATCCCTTATACCTTATCCAGGGTACTTAGGGCGGGTAGCATCACACCCTTAATCCTAGTGCCCTTGATCCTAGCATTGCACCGTGAATCAATTCCAACATCACACACTCTAGATTCAGTCACCTCTGAAAAAGCCCACCTATGACTGCATGAGGCTTTGGGGGGACATCTGGACACAAGCCATGAGTATATTTATAGAATCCTAGATGATGTAAGTCAATCAGTCAATGTGCTCTCTTTTTCATTTGTTTAATTTCATTTATATGCTTGTATGTTTTGGTACTGGGGCCTTCACGGGAGGCTACATCCTTGGTTGTTTTTTGGGGGGTTTTTTTGGGTTTTTTTTTTGAGACAGGGTCTCCCTAAATTGCCCAGACTGAACTCAAATTTTTAACCTTTCTGTCTCAGCCTCCTAGAGTGCTGGGATTACAAGCAGGAGCCACCACACCCAGCTTCAATTTGGCCTATGGGTCCAACCTAGAGACAGTAAACAAAAGATGTATGGAGTTACTGCTGACAGAAAATAGCATATGGATTTTACTAATTTTTTTTTCAAATGTAAGAGTGCACTCTTAAATAATGGTTAAAAGTATAATATAACCCTAGGAGGCTGCAGCAGAAGGATGGGAAGTTTAAGCTCAGTCTGGGAAACTTAGCAAGACCCTCAACTCTAAATAAAAAATAAAAAGGGCTGGGTATGTAGCTCAGTGCAAAGACCCTGGGTTCAATCCCCATTACTGGAAAAATAAAAATTATAACCAATAGCCATGAAGTCTTAATATTTTTGCTCTATTTGATTCATAATAAATAATTGAAGCCTGACTGGCAGTACACAACTATAATCCCAGCACTCTGGGAGGCTACGGGAGGATTGTAAATTTGAGCCGACCCCAGGCAACTTACAACTTAGTAAGAACCTGTCTCAAAATTTTTTTTTAATTTAAAAAGGGTTAGGAATATAGCTCAGTGTGAAAGCCCTGGCTTTAATCCACAGTGCAGCAAACAAATTAAATAAACATAGCCAATAGAATTACAACCCCCTCCAGTTTTACTCTCTCTCCCTCCCCAGAAGTAACTCTCATTTGAATTTGGCTTTGTATTTTCCAGACATTTTTTTCCATACAAACACTCATTTTTATCTTTGCCCTGGATTGAGGAGAAAGAGGTCCAGAGCCCTACCAGGAGAGAAGACAGGCTGGCGGTCTCTGGAGACATCTGGCAGTCGAGGTTCAGGTGGTCTCGTGAGAGGTTGTATTGGTTATCTGAAGTCACAAAATCCCACATGGGCTTGAAGAGGTCAATTCCAGAAGCCAGCAGTCCCACGACTGACCCAGCCTCTAAACCAGAGGGAGTTCTGGCTACTCTGGGTAGGAATCTTATGTCCTTGGCCTCCTGTAGCTCTTGGGCCCCTGGCTTGGGTCTGGCCCTCCCCCTATCCATCAAATTCAAACAAAAACACAGGCACAACTCTCTAAAAAAAGAATTTTTATTGGGGGATTAATAAAGAAAATTGAAACCCTGGACACACATACAGTCTGTGGTAGGTTAGCCACAGAACACAGGAAAGCTTAGGGGGTTTATTAGGACAGAAAAATGTACAAGTTATTTTAACAAAAGTTCATTGGCAGCCACACTTATAATCCTAACACTGAGGGAGACTGAGGCAGAAGGACTGAGATTCTGAGTTTGTCTAGACCACTCAGCACTGCCTCAAAATAAAGAGTACAAAATGGCTGGGGATATAACCCAGTGGTAGAGCACCCCTCAGTTTGATCCCCAGTGCCAGAAAAAAAAAGCAAAAGTTCTTCGGCATAATCAGGGCTTCTAAAAGATGGCTAATTCAGCCATGGCAGTTACTGTGTAAAGTTAGTGTTAAGGTTCTAGCTGGCAGTTGCTAAGTAAAAGTAGTCTTAAAGATAAACTAGACACCAGGGTAGGGGTAAAGGCATGTAATCCCAGTAACCTGGGAAGGTGAAGCAGGAAAATTGCAAGTTTAGGCCAACCACAGACAATTTAACAAGACCCTATTGCAAAATTAAAAAGGGCTGAGGATGTAGCTCATTGTGAAGGCCTTGGGTTCAATCCCCAGTACTGGAAAAACATAAAACAAAACAACAAATAAGATAGGGTGGCTGTTTCCTTTAGTTCTCTGAAAGAATTCTGGAGCAAGCCAACAGTATTTCCTCAACTCTATTTTAGTAAGGTGTGTACAATTAATTTTCTCACCCTTAAGAGAGAAAGTTGGGCCTTACATCCCTCTGATAGAAGAGGGCAACTGTGCAAGTCATCAGATGTAAATTATAAACAGTAAAATCAACACCATAAAATGTTTTAAAAGAACAACTCATGCCCCAAACCTTGGACATGTCTACCTTGCCTGTTTCCAACCCCACGTCCCCTAAAAAGCAGAGGCAAAAGCAGGCATTGTGACACACAACTGTAATTCTCACTGGGACAGGAGGACCCCAAGTTCAACCCCAGCCCCAGCAATTCAGAGACCTGGAGAAACCCGACTCAAAAGAAAAGTTTTAAAAGGGCTGGGGATGTGGCTCAGTGTGACAGCCCTAGGTTCAATACATAGCACCAAGAATAAACAAAAAAACTAAAAGAAGGCTGGTCAGATCTGTCTGTCTCTGCCTGGCGACCAGAATAGGACCTGAGAGGGAAGGGTAGCTAGGGGAGCTGGCAGGCTGCCAGGCAGGGCTTGAGAATTTGTGGGAGATGGGTGGGTGGGGAGGGTGTGCTGGTGTGGATTGGGGGTTGGTGGAGAACCAGGGCAGGGCTGGAGAGTTGAGGGTGGGGCTGGCGGACTGGGGGAGCTGTCTCAGAGAGGGTAGAGGTCTGGGAGGGATAAACAGTTGGCCCCAGGGGCCCAAGGAATGGCCCAGTGCTCAAGGCTCGGGGCTCAGGCGTTGATGTTATGTAGCGATCTGCTCCCTGAACCTGAAGCTGCTGGCTCCTCCATATCTTGGTTCCAGGTTGCTGGGGCAGCAGGCTGCGGTACTGGCTTTGGGGATGCTGTGTTTGGTGGAGACCCAGGCCAAGGGCAGGCTTGGGCTACAGAAGAGGTGAGAGATGGTGGCGGTGGTGGAGGCGGCGAGCCAGGGTCCCAGCTGCTCTGGCCCGCGTCTTCCACTATCTTCCAGGCCACCAGGCGCATGCAGGCGCTGGCGTCCTCGCGGGAGCTGTGCCCGGCAGGATTGTCCTGGATGACCTCGTGGAGGTAGTCAGCCACAAGGCTCCGCAGAGAGCGCTTGTAGGGGAGGCCCAAGCGGTGGGGGAAGAGCAGGGACGTATCCACCACCAAGGGATGGATCATCTTCAACACCAGAAGATCGCTCTCCAGGCTATGTCCGATAAGAATGCTGTCCGCGCTCAATATAGTCAACAGGAAAGCCTGCACATCCCGAAGCGTCACACTTGTGCGAGCAAGGGCCGCCTCGGTCACACCGGAAAACCTGGTGTTGTAGTCCACGATCTCGTGGTCCGGCTTGACGAAAGTGTCATAAACCACGCGCATGTCTGAATCTACCACAGAGATACGAGTAAGCTCTAGGCCGTGGGTAGTGAAAGACATCTCACAGTCCAGGGCATAAATACCTGGGTGGGCGTCTTGCGAAGGTCCTTTGGCCGCAGTCGTCACAAACCCTTCGAGGTCGTCTTTCCTGCCGTCGTGCACATGCTGCTTGGCGACCTGGCAGCCCACGGAGCCGACGGCTGCCGAGCAGCACGTGTACTGGTTCTCCCAGCCTCTGGCCAGGAACTTCCTCCACGGCCGGCCCCAGTGGTAGTAACACTGCTCTGGGCTCACGCAAAGCCCCCACGGGGACACTGGGTACTCGGTGCCGCAGCGGCAACAGGTTCTGCGGTGGGAGTTTTGGCGCTTGTCCTCCACCGTGAAAAGCACTGCATGTCCTGGCCGCTCCGGGTCTGAGAAGGGGTAGCTGTTCGCCTTGCGCTCATCCTCTGTGAGCAGGTACCGGCAGAGGCGTCTGTGCAGGGTGGCCCTATTGAGACCAGGCAGACCGCTGGGGACCAGGCCCCTCAGCGTCTTGAGTGTGTGCCCAGCGTCGCACAGGTAGGCGTTCTTAGAGGGACTGCGGTCGAAGATCACTTTCTCTTCCATCCATGCCTTTTTCAGGGCCTCCAGCGGCGTTGAGCAGAACTTCAGGCACTCCTCAGAGAAGAGGCCAAAGTAGTGTCGACGGACTGCTGTAGGGGTTTTGCCCCCAAACTCTTTCTGGAATTTCTGTAAAGACTGTCCATGGGCGACTTGCGTGGCAGTAGTGTTGGAGGAGGTCTCGGAAGCCACCCCTGGTGACATACGCGTCTTCAGGCGCTGAGCGCCTTCAGCGGCCTGGCTGCTGCTAGCCGCTAGAGACTTCTTTGCATCCATGGGAGCTGTTGCCAACTTGGGGCCAGGAACGTGGATCTTCCTTTTGCCACCAGGGGAGTGGACTGAAGAAGGCTTCTTAGCTGGTGGCGGTGGGGCAGACTGCTGGCAGCTGGCTAGTTTTCGCTGGGCCTCTTGGGTGGTCTTGAGCCTGGCAGAAGGCACTTCTGAGCCTCTTCTCAGAGGTTGCGCCTGGTTAAAAATAAACCCCGGAGCCTGAGAGCAATTCCGGGGCAGACTTGGATGCAGGATTACACCAACTGCCTCCACCTTCTGAGCCTGTGAATGCCCTGGTGGGAACCAGGAAGGTGCGGTAGCCCGCAAGCTCATTCTGCTGCAGAGTTCTGTAAGTGCGTGCAGCCCTGCTCGCCGTTAGTCTAGAGTGCCAGGCTATTCCCTCCGTCCTTATATCTGCAATTGGAGCCAATCATCTCGCGCCTTCCGGACTTCCTGGGCTCCTCCTACCCGGCAGAGTGTAGCGTTTGGATCTAGGTTCTCCGCCCTACTCTTTTCTTGTCCTGACTCACTTTCCCGACAATGACCCTACAATTTTACGACCTTCAGTGAGTCTAGACTACAGAAGAAGAAACTGAGACTCAGAGGGTTTAGGCAATTTGTCCAAGTCATGCAACGTGCCAGGAAGCCAGGGTTTGACCCTGGCAGACTGACATCTGCTGGTGGCCTTTGCTACCCTGGAAGTGCCACTCTTTGAGGGTTTGTGGGTAAAAACCCAGCATGCCCTGGGTTGAATCCCCAACACGGGGGAAGAAAGGTAGTGTCTATCCCACATGAGTGTTGAAAGGATTTTTTTAATGCAGCAATTCTTTATTAGTATATGTTTTTAATACATAATAATTATATTCATCTTGGGAAATGAATATATATGCATATCTCATCTTCATCGTTTTCATTCCTGTTTTCTCCTACATCCTGGCCAACTTTTTTTTTGAGTCAGGGTCTCACTAAGTGGCGAAATTGCCCAGATATCATCTAGATAATAAAACTTTTTTGTTGTTACCGGGGATCAAACTCGGGTCCTTTCAGTTTGGAGGCAAGTGGCAAAACCACTGAGCTAAATCCCTGGCCCTAAAACATTTTTTAAAGAAAGAATTAGATTCAAAAGAGCATTTCCTCTGCTGACACTCTTCCTAGACTCACCTTTGGATCTGTTGACTCCTTTTTTGGGCTCCAGATGTTGCAAGTATTCCAGAAAGGCATAAAGGAACTATCTTTCTCTAAATAGAGAGGGGTTGACAAGTACAGCTTGGTGTTATGCCTTGTGTCTAGATGTCCCGCTAAAGCCTCATGCAGTCATAGGTGGGGCTTTTTCAGATCTAGAAGTGTGTGACTCTGGAATTGATGTATGATACAATGCTAAACTCCAGGGCATTAGGATTAAGGGTGTGAATGCTACCTGCCCTAAGTAGTCTGGACAAGATAAAAGGAGAAGAAAGATACCATTAAGGTCCCTTTCCTTTTGACCCAACATGAGCTGTTTCTCCTTTTTGAGGCCTAGGTGGCAAGCCACTGTGCCTTAGAGCCAGCCAGCTATGTTCTTTGACTTTTTTTTCCTCCAGTACTGGGGATCAAGCTCAGGACCTTGTCCTTGCAAGGCAGGCAGGGCACCACTGAGCTAAATAAATCTCCAGCCCCTTGGAGCTAGCCAGCCATGGCTTAAAACCTTTAAAAACTGTTAACTAAATAAATCCTTTCCTCTTTAACTTTAGGTGTTGGATATTTTGTCTTAGCAATGAGAGAAGGGGAACTAACACAGAAATCTGGCACCAGAAAACTGGGATCATTGTGTAACTATACCTGAACATGTGGTTCAGGAGCCTTTGGGAAAGTCTTACTGGAAGAGTTTGGGACAGTTCAGAGATTCCAGCTGAAAAACACCTTAGGCTGTACTGTAGGGGAAATTCTGATCAAAGCTCAGAAGACCAGAAACCCAGTAAAGTCCAGGCTTGAGGGGTTTCTGCTGGAAAGGACTGCAGTGGCTGTTGGACTCCAGAGAATGTGTTATTCCTTGGTAGAAAGTTTGTCTGAATTTTGCTCTTGTCCAGAGACTTTGCCTGACACTGAGATTAAGGGCAGCAGATTAATTAATCTGCCAGAAGAAATTTCAAACCAGTCTAATGTTGAGGCAGTAGCATGGCTGCTCTTAGGGACTTTTAGCCAAATGTATGCTGACAATCAAAAGCAAAAAGCCCAGCAGCATGATTTAAAACATTTTGGGTCTGGCCAAAAAGGAAGCTTCAGCAAGCTGTGGACTACAAAGATAGAGGAGAGAAGAGCTTGTTTGCTGAGATGGAACTGGAAAATAGAAAAAATGGCTGGAATGCTGAGATTTTAATCCACTGATTGGTTTGGCCTATTTCTGTGTAGGATTAAGAGTGCCCCACCCTGAGAGTGAGTGTACCAGCCCTAAGGGCAGGTAGCCTGGATACAATATAAAGGACAGAAAGAACCTATCACTTTCTGCTTGCTGCCTTGCTACCTTCTGCCTGCCATAAACTTTCTCCTTTGTGATGCCCTTCTGCCATGCCACCTAGCCTTGGACCCAGCCAACCATGGACTAAAAACTCTACAAATCATGAGCCAAACAAACCTTTCCTCCTTTAACTTTAAGCATCAGATATTTTGTCTTAGCAACCAGAAAAATGACTAAGACAATAGCCTTGCTATGCTGCAATCTGGCACATAACCTTAGCAATTGATAGGGCTAACAGGGAACCAGTGATAATCTGGGGAGGTACACACTACAAGATGGGGTTACTTTGGCTAGGGTTTGGAGGATAATTCTAACAATGGCTAATATAAAAATTAATTAAGGACTATTAATATATAACATAAACTAATTTAAAATTTCATTCAAATAGCATATAGTTATATATCTATAATCCCAGCTACTTGGAAGGCTAAGGCAGGAGGATTGAAAGTTCAAATCTTGGGCTGGGGATTTAGCTCAGTGGTTCCGGCACCTGCTTTGCAAGTGCAAGGTCCTGAGTTCCATCCCCGGTACCAAAAAAAAAAAAAAATAGAAGAGAAAGTTCAAATCTAGCCTGGGCAACTTATTGAAAGTAAAATAATTTTTAAAAGATAGAGATTTAACTCAGTAGTTGAGAACTACTGAGTTGGACACCCATTACCATAAAAAATTATACAATTGATGGTAGAATTGAAATTAGGCCAATAAAATTCAAGTAGACTCATAAAATGTCAAAGGACGTGGCACTTCCTATGGAAGTCAGAGTATTGAAAGAAAAACAGATATTAATTAAAATTTATAAACCATGCTTTTATCCCTGAGGGACTTACACAATTCAATTCAGAAGGACTTTTATATATATAATAATTCAAAATACATATGAAATATATGTTTATATATAACACAATCCCAAAACCACATGACAAAATACAAATGAATAAACAGCCAGTAAGTAACTAGAAAAAAATAAAAGAAATGTAGCTATCTTGAGTTAAAAAGGAAAATTGTGAAGACGATTTGTCACCTAGAATATGACTGACCAGCAAAAAATAATTCAAAAATGGGCTTTGTAGGGAACGGATATGATGAAGAAATGAAACAGAAAAGTGCATGGTGTTATGGTTTAGATCTAGAATGCCCCCCAAATTCTCATGTGTTCAGAGGTGGTCTTTTGGAGGGTCACTGGATCACGGGGGCAGTCTGCTCATGGTTTGACCTATTGATGAGCTCATAACTGGATGACATTATTTGAAGATAATGAAAACTTGATAGGGCTTGGTTGAAAGAAATGAGTCATAGAGACATGGCCTTGGGGACAATATCTGGTCCCTTGCCCCTTTTCCATGACTCTATATCCCTATCCCTATCCCTATCCTTTTCCTTAGCCCTACCCCTATCTCTCCCTATCTTTTTTTATTTGCTTCCTGGATGCCATGAGGTAAGCAGCTTTCTTCTGCTATATCTTTTTGTGATGTTTCTGCCTCATCACAGGCCTAAAAGTCATAGACTGAAACCTCTGAAGCAGTGAGCCAAACTAAATCCTTCCTTTTCAAAATTGTTTTTCCCAGGTATTTGGTCACATTGATGAAAGCTAATATATATATGGAATATGAGTGAAAACTTCAATGGGTAACTAGACCTATACATTGAGGATCATGAGTTTGAATAATCATAGACATATCCTTGATGCCAAAGAAAGAAGAACTCCTGAACCCTAGGTTAGTAATATTTAATTAATTAATGAAATCAACCACATTTCCAATATCACAATTATGTGAATTAAAAGAAGAAAGAAAAAAAGCACCAAGGTATCCCCCAAGAGATATGCAGCACTGCAAGTATAGAATTAGACTAGCAATACAGATTTCTCTAGAAAACTGCCCTCTCTTGCTGCCCTTCAGATAAAATCTATAATGAGTACTCCACAGGAAAAGTTTTCTTATTATAGCAATATTGTGCATATTGGAGACAACTATATGTCTACAAACTATTTTATAATGAATACATTGTTTTGATATTATGATAGCATGCATGTACCCATATGTTGTCATTCATTCCTAGCTAAAGTATTTTTTTGCTGTTAGGGGTGCAAGAATAGAATACTATATAATATATGTGTATATTGTACCTAAATATAAATTGTACTGCTTTCTGGAAATATTTTAATTCATTAGTAAAGCTTTCCATCCCTACAAATTAAACCACATATTCCATGTAAATGAAATTCTCAAGCACTAGAAATAAGGAGTTGGCTACTACAGTCCTTGAGAAAAATGCTCACTTGAACTAAAAATAAAATAAAAACTCCAGCAGAGACTGGAAGTCAGATGTATTTAGTGTTCTAGTGAACAGAAAATGTCTTTGAGGATCACCCAACTGGAATGAATTCCAGGTGATTTTCGTGCAGAGTGGAGATTTATAACATAAAATGAAAATCATACACAAAAGTTAGCAGTTGTAAATAGTTTAATCTGAAGCTGTTCACCATGCACCCTTCAAATGAGATTGTAGTTATCTTCTAAACCAATACATTAAAGACAAGCTAGATACACAACAATATCAACCAAAATCCTACCAGGCTTTTAAAAATTATTTTCTATTATAAATTCCATGGTTTGGCACAATAGTCAAAAAGTGTTTAAAAGGTTTGGTGCTTTTTTTTAGAGTCATAAAGAGGTTTATTAGGCAGAACTTAAATTACACACTCAAAGAAAATAGAATGTAGGCCCTCAAAAGAAAGGTTTACCATATTCTAGAGTGGGAAACACTTACATGTTTCAGAGAGTGGATGCTTGGTTTACAGGAGAAAACTGATGGTCATCCACTCTTTCTCTTTCTTGATGGACTATATATTTATTACTACTCTTCTTCCTGTCTCAATGGCAGTGAATTAATCA